AGCTGTTAGTTGTTGTACCTTGAATGACTTGGTCTTGAGTGCATGGTGTTGTCTTATTTACAGTTATTTTATCATCGGACAGGTTTTTTCTACCAAGCTGAATATCGTCCCTCAGACGAACAGGAAAGGGAAGAGATTCATGAGGTTTTCGATGTCGTTTAATCCTTTGACCGAATTTGTCGTCTTTGTCGAAAAAGCACAACTTGACAGATGGCCATGACATCTATTCATTTGCAGCGCGAGATTCACGACAGATCTTCTGGAATGCCTTCTATCTTGACATCAAACACCTTTAAAACTTCGCAAATAAAATAGATCTTGTTCGATGTCCGTGAATTCCACCAAACGTCGTTGTCATAGCAACTTGCAAATTAAAAAAACTCGTCCGCAGTCCTTCTTTTCGACGCTCGGCTAAAAAATGGGCGTGTATGAATGTTGCTTAAACGATCATTGAACCACGTAAACGGATTCCGGATTCCAAAGCTGTTTTTAACTGGATTCAGATCTCTTACATGGGGCGAATCGTGGATGGATTTATTTCATTGCTAAAGTTTAGGCCCGTGATCGTTACCATGGTTCCTGAGAGGCTTGTCTTACAGGGTTAGCTTCAACTCGGGGAAAATGTAAATTGTTAGCGCAATTGTACCCTGGGAGAGGGGGACTTCGGGGTAAAAGTACCGGGGATGCTCGTCGGAAATTTTCGAAAAGACCCCTAAAAGATCTTAAAAAAGGGCGTGGCTGACTAATTTTAAACCCTAAGAGATTGCACAAAAAATAAAGTGAAATTAAATCAATTCCAATGATAAAATGCATGAATAAAATATTTAATGACAAAACGCAGAGGAAAATCAATATCCATGAGCTCTTTCTCTTCTTTTCCGACACTCAAAGACATTGCAGGAAATAAAAATTCCCAGGAACTCCAAATTGGCACCCTAAAAGACCAATTCTCGGTTGCTATTTAGAGGCCAAGTTAGAGAAATGTTATTATTGTCCTCAATAGAATGTTTTTTAATAGAAATACCAGCGATCGAAAATTGGTAAGAATGTATGGGATTATTAAGTAAGAGTGCGTTTTAGACTGGTCAAGAAATGCCTACAAAAGGCTTTGTTTTAAGATTGTAATGATTTTTTTATGTCCAAGGCCAAAAACAGCATATAATTCCCAACAGTTATGCAAAGTTTAAGTCAAACTGCGATTTCGTAGCAAAAAAAAAAAAGCGTTTGAATACGGTCTTACTTTACAAGGGAATGTATGGGAAAGCCCTAGTGGTGTACTAATCCTGTAGCCAACCATGCGGACAGTAACTCCGAGTGTCGAAATGAGCTCAAAACTAATGATTTTGCTTCAGATTTCCAACAATATCATTCTAAAAATCTAATTCAATGCTGAGGCTATACTTGTTTTAAGACTTCTGAGGTTTATTTGGCGTGTTTCAAGTCGCGTGACAGTATTGCGTGACAAATGTTTGAACGTTTTTTTCATTTGAACGATTTTTTATTAAAATAACTCAACGAATAAACAGTAAAAAAAAAATAAAAAAAAAAAATAAATAAACATAATAAAAAGGATAAAAATAAAAAATAAAAAAAAATTAAACTTTCAGAGAAAACTTCTATCAAGCTCTTCAAGATATATTAGTGCTGTAATGTCGTGTGTCTGTTATTTTAGAATTTTTTCGACTGATGACGTCATGTGCAAACCGAGAATTACGAATTTTTAACCCTAAGGGATCCTATTGGCATCCCCGGTACTTTCACCCCGGAGTCCCCAACCTCCAGTATTGAGCTAACAACACTTTCTCGTGCTTTCTTCTTTGTTTGGTAAGTCCTTTGCATAAGGAAAAATTCTCAGTCTTGCACCAAATATAGCTTTGAAGCTCATTGACGGTGTTTGCAGCCCAGTAGAAAATTGTTCATGTTTGATATTTGCGCGAAGTGGCTCTAAAAGGGCTTAAATATGCTGTGCTGCACATGTTATTATTGGTTGAACGCCTGCAATTTGACGCATTTTGAGAAATGAAAATATGACGAGAACTTCGTATTTCCATTTTCACGCGGTCACAGGGACACAGGGCTTTTCGGCTTGCTTTCTTTTAAATGGCCGAGAGAGCCTGGGAATCAGGCTGAACTTTAGACTTTTCCAATAGCCGACTTGCGAATTACGCATCAATAGTCACATACAAAGGAATCAAGACGAGGCGCCGTGCTTTTTTGTGAAAAATCTATTGTCTTTAGCACGGCGCCTCGTCTTGATTCCTTTGTATGTGAC